TTTTTTTTTTTGGCCCTTTTCTTTTTTTAAGTTTCTATTTAAACTCCAGCTAGACAATTGTATTTTCGAGAGCAACCAATGGCAAAGTTAAGAGCACAGATATTGGAGATTGACACCTTTGTTCAAAAGTCACTGAACTATCTCATGGCTCAGTTTTTTCATTGGAAAGACTGGATTATTAAAGTTTTTATACGTAAAGAAGAGAGAACTCCGTTTGTATGGAAACCACGCAGTAAGTGCTCAGTAACTGTAAACTCTTAGGACTAGGAAACACTGGCAAAGTCACATTTAGGTGACGTGTTCCAGGCCGCACAGTAACACTGGATCCCAAGTATGGTAAACTATAATGTCTCCCCAGCATTATTCCTTTTCTAGTCCAGAACACAAACTTGATTCAATCAACAAGGTTACTTTGTTGGTTTCTCACAATATATCCAGCAAGTATATTTGGTGGTGGAAAGACAATGGAGACTCTGCAATCCAGCGTGGAACAAGAACAGCTGAAACAGAAAGCAATGCAATCTTGTGTGATGATGAAATGGGGACAGATGGTAAGGGGCATGTGTCCACAAACTGCTCTTCTGTCCTCCCGACGAGGAGAACAAAGGCAAGAGAAATGTAGCCCTATTTAAGTCTCCTTCCAACTTGCAGCCTACTGATAAATCCCTGACCCATGCAAGCATGACATTCTTCAAGGAGCTCCATGGCTGCCTTAATGTTTATGTTTTATTGGAGACTAAAAGCAACCATATCTTAATAGCCAGCCCTCCAATTCCTGGAGACCTTAACTTTTAACAGGCACATATGCCTTAGAAACTTACTTGAGCCCTAACCTCCACTAACTAAAAAGTATATAATCAGTCACTCCTCACAATCACAGTGCAGTTCCTTCTGTCTGCAGGTCCTGTCCCCCAGGTATAAACAAAGCATCTTTTGGCCTCGAAAAGGTCTTAAGAATTCTTTCCTGACCCTTTGCTGGGTAGCCCCATATCACTCCCATCCCATCCCATCCTTCAAGGCCCAAGTGATGATCCTCAATGCAAGTAAGTGTATGACCACCCTGAGTGTAACCACACACACACAGGTCCCTTGCCAAACAGTGTCTTCATTTCCCGCCTCGCCACCCAGATGCACGTTCCTGAAGACAAAACTCCATGGTGTCAACTCAACCTGTATAATCTGTTTTGGACACCAGCCTTCAAATCCTGGAAATGTGAACTTTGGACTTCCTCCCTGTCCCTGACTTTTTTAACAAAGTTCCCTTCAGATAAGATCATGGTCTCATGATCATTAGATTTCTTCATTCCCATATTTGGTGAACTTGCCCCTGATAAGCAGCCAACCTGTTGCCCTCTGAGAATACAGCGGTGAGTATACGAGGCACTTCCTTTCTCCATCCCTTGTCATTTATACCACAGGAAAGCTGAAAGGCCTACCTACACGGGGCTCACTAAAGCAAGGGCCTTTCTTTATGCAAAGGGTCAGGATGATTCCTGTCAAACTAGGTTTTTGCCCCTGAGGCAAATCAAACCATGTGTGGGATACACTACATCAAGAAGAAGAAACTGGGTTGCAGACCACATGGGCATCCCAGATAACCAGGCCCACACCTGATGTGGAAACCCCCTGTTCCTGTGTTTGGATCATGGGGTTCCAATCACACTCATCTGTTTTGGCACCTCCAGCAATCTCAAAATGGGTGACCAATGATGGCACCCATATTCTAGATGAGAGGCGCACAAGAGATTCTGATGTCTAAGAAGATGGAACTGAAGTGACAAAATTGTGGGCATCAAGACGTCTTTATTTGAACAGCAGGTTACATCCAAGTAGAAAAAGAAAAGGCAATCAACTAACATTCATTGGCTTTAATGGAGTGGCGCTCCCCCAGGTACCAGGTTCCAGGGTGTCCCAGGTCAGGCTCTTGACTTAGCCCTCATCTGTGGCCAGAGCACATGAAAGGCCTGACAGGAGATTTCAAGCAGCCATCATGGTACCTCCAAATAACCCAATGCTTTGCCACATCTACAAAACTCAAACTTCCAGTGTCAAAATCAAGGAACACCCCAACCTTGCCCTGAGGTTTCTCTGTGAACACAGGAGACAGAGGGCAGGTGGCCCAGAGCCTGTAACCGTCATCCTCCTTTACACACATCAGGAGGAATGTGCCACTCAGTTCTTCCAGTGGGCCAATGTTCCTCATCCAGGAATTGTCACGGAAGCCCTCACAGACACCCACAACCCAGTCCCAAGAGTCGTTCACCTCTAATTCCCAGTAATGTTTGCCGCTGCTAAAGCAGGGTTCTCCCCATGATGCAAAGTAGTCAGATGTTCCAGGAATCAAGGATGCATACAAATGGTCACGGTCATACCTCAAACTTCTCACGTCTTCAAATAGCCTCGTATCGTGATTGGTTATTACCCTGCTGAATGTCACATTGACTGTCAAAAGGAAAATTCTAGTCAAAACCAATGGGGACAATACAATGGCTCCTGAGAGAAGAAAGAAGGTCTATCTATTGTCTCACTGCAAAAAACATTCCAACATTAGAAGGGCAGTTCTGACTGCAGAACTTTGGATCCAGATGTTGCCAGCACATCTATTGGACAAATACCTTCTTAAAATGGAAAAAAAAAAAAAAAGCCTTGCTAAAAATTCAGAGATCATGAAGAAGGTCATATGGACTTCTGGCTGGTTACTTTGCACAACACGGGAAAATCTGGACATCTATGCATCGTCTTCCAGCCCACAGCAATATAACTTAGCTCGACCACCCCTTCTGAGGGAACTAAGGCAAAATTACACCTTAGACTGGATAAATGGTGGTATCCCTTCATCAGGATATCACTACATTCTAGTTAAGCATGTTGACACTGAAGAGGAAAACCTAAAGATGACTTCCTAGATGTGGCTCCCTAAAAATATTCTGCCTAGGGTATCTGCTTCTTCCTGAGGCCTCCTCTTTCTCTCTGCTAAATTAAACCTCTGGGTTTAAGTTTACCATAGAGATCTTTATGATATGACCTCACCAACCACCAATTTGCTTTATTGCCATTTTTCATAAATTCTTGGTTTCTGCATTGAAGCATGATTTTATGCTTATGCATTTTTCCTCATTGCACAAATGGAAACTAATGCGATTACTAGGAAACTTTTTAAACCAAAAAGATTTTCAAAGCCTAACTGACTGTACTTTCTTTGAAATTGGAGGTCCTTGAATTCACATCTACTTTTCTATGTGTGAACAAGTGACACTGCATGTGATAGTTTCTAGGGCTCAAGGTGCCCTCTTCTGGAACACACTCACTTTCCCATTACCTGAGTAATTTATCAAATGTATAAGCTAGTAGGGCCTGAACCACATATTGATATAAGGACACCTACTCTGGTTTCTCTTTAAAAGATGGCCCACAGAAAACCATGATTGAAGGACCTGGCATTGTGGTCTCACCAGTGGGACTGTGGGGCTGACACTCACCTAGGAAGCTGTTGAGCCTGTCTGCCAGTCCCATTATGGGTTGTGCCCTGAGTCATGGCTGCACACATAGAGGTAGGTTTGGCTGATTTCTCTTCATCCTGTAAGGAGGAAGATGAGCTTAGTCTTTCTGGTGCCTGAGACTTCTTAGAAACACAGTGGTTGACAAAGTCATCACTCTTCAGCCAACCATTCTTCATCAGAATCCTTTCCTCCACAATCATGGGATAGGACTGTGTTATTCTTGGGGAACCACTTTTCTTCTTTGCCTGCTTCTGCCCACCCCCATCTCTCCTAGGTGCTCTTGCCTCTCTTACCAAATCACTGGGAAAATTAGTCTTTATGCTTCTGATAGATATACAACTGTGAATCTAAAACCACATAGCTGGTTCTAGAAACTTCTGTATTGAGCACTTCACTCAGCCACAAGGATAAAAGAAGTCTAACTTCTGAAGGGGTACAGGAAATCATATTCAGCAAAACATGCACAAACATGGGCGTACATAAGCAACTGGGTATAGTGCAGCAATGCTGTCTTTGCTTGGATAGAAGTTCAGAGCTTGAGCTCTTCCACAGCCCTCACCCTGCCCTAGGTAGCATGGATGTCCAAGCTCACCTTGCCAAAGTGTCTCCTAATTCCTGTCAAGAAAAAAAAAGAGAAACTTAAGACTTCAAGCTTAGGTCATTCTGCCAGTCTTTGGGTTTGGGAAATATCAGGAAAAGTACTAATCACTACCACCCCCCCCACACACACACACTCTCCTGCTAACCCTTTTTCCTTTCCCCCCCTAAAGATAATTCCACTATAACAGATGGACAGAATGGAAATTCTTGATGAATTTAGAACCCTGAATGTAAAGAGAGGACAAAAATACCAACTGTGCACTGCTGCAATGCTCAGCTGTCTGCAAAGTAGCCTTTCCTGGGCTTGTTCCCCAAGGGTGGTATGTCCCAAATTAAGGGCAATTCAAAACTAAGACTTCCCTACCAAAGCAGGAAGTAGGTGAGCTTTTCCCAAATTTCCCCACACTTCCCAATTGGAGACAGGAAATTGGACGTCCATTGAGTAAGTTGTGTCTTTCTGGGTCTTGGAGAAGCAAGCTCCACAAGGAGATATTGAGAAGGGACTATTCCCTGGGGACTCTCCCTAATGAATCTCATGAGGCTTCCTTGTTCATGGCTAGGATAGGAGTTGCAGTTGATCTAGACTATTCCCAATCAGGAGAGACACCCGCCAGAGGGGCAAGACATGGAAGAATACATCTTTGCTAAGCAGTAAAGCATGGAAGTCAAAGGTGAGCCACAGTTCTTACCTGGAGGAGCTCCCCATCTGGCTTTTGGCACATAGCCACCAGCTCCATGTACATTTCTCGTAGGTAGCTCATACAATTGATCAGATGACTTTGATTCCTCCGGAATTGGTCACACATCTCATTGCCTTCTTCTCGAAGGCTTTCTAAAGTTTCACTTTCCTCTCTGAGAACTGGACACGGTGTCTCATGAGCAGGAATGACGTTTTCATGTTGAGTCACAAAATACTGCAAGGACATGGGTTAAGTAGACTAAATACTCAGGTCAGTCTCATCCCTGGCCACTTAAACAGCATCCAGTGTGCTCTGCCTCTGGGCTCCATACATCCTAAAGTCATGAACTCCCCCTTCTCAGAAACCATTCATTTCTCTCTCCATTTGTTTTCCATTCTTTCAAAACTATTCCAAGAGCCAAACCCACACATTCCCTCAAACCACTTGCATCCACCTCATGAGTTCCTGAAATTGGAGAAAAGCTTGTCATTGATATCTTTCATACCCATCCTCTCCAACCTGAAAGACCACAGGCAAGCCACTGAGACATATGAGTGACTCATATCATTATGTGCAATATTCTGCTTTCTGGGTTACCTTAGGAAATTTATTTCCAGTCTCAAAACTCCCTCCTCGACAGCCTGGCATTTCTCTCTTCCTTCATGAAAATGTTGCAGGATTAGAAGCCTCCAGAAAGGATCTTCCTAAAATCCTCACCATCTGCCTTCAAAATGGATGTCTGTCCTCACGGCCCTATCTTCTGTTTGGAGGGCATCCTCCATATTCTTTTCAAGGACACTAATCCCTACTCCTTTGCATCTTTCCACCCGGGATTTATGGGGTCACTCTCTGCATCTCAGCCTTTCCAATCCTCCTTTTCCTTGGCTTATTTTTTTTTTTTAAACGTGTTACATTTTCTCCTACTCGAACCTCTATTGTTCTCTATCTCCTGTACTATCAGTTTTCACCATGAGGGGCACACTTGTTAAATTGTTGTTCAGGTTTCCTTTCTATCCCTGGACTCACTGGAGGAATCAGAAGGAAATACCTTCAGTTCCCAAGGATATGCTCTTTATTCTCTAGAATGTTTGACATACAAAAATCTCTGCCTGAAATATCTTTGGATTTTTCACATCTACTTGACCTTGAGAACTCGTATTGGCCTTCACCCTGAGGAATTTGTCCTCAGAGCCTGAATAATGGCTACTGAATTGGTCCAGATCATGCTCTGTGCTTCCTATCTTAGCACTTGTTGCACATTCTTCTCATGGTTTTTTGGTAGTTACTGGTATAGTAGACTCTAAGAATCCTAAGAGGCATGCCACCTTCCATTGAATCAGTGGATGGATCATTTCTCCAGCTGCTCAACCCCTTAATAGAATTTTATGACACATGATGATTTAGCTCAAGTTCCTAATGGCTAAGTTCCTACATCCTCTGTCTCAACCTGACTGAGAGGGAAATACACTCTCATACTTACCATCGAAGGCACAGTCATTCTGCCATATTTATTGAGACTCTCCTGGATTCCTTGGATCTTTTTCCATAAAGATCTCATCTCATCAGAGAGCTTTTCCTGTAAAAGAACTATGAATTTTGGCACCAGAGCAGCAACTACATTTCAGTTTCAGAACTCCAATGGTGGAGAGAATAATCGAGGGATACTAGATAAATGTACTTCAAGGAGAGCAGAAGGATCATCATATTTGCCCATTTGCCCTTGCTAGTGATCAAATTTTAGATCAAACTGTAGAACCACACAATGTCATGTCATCTGCATGGGGACATGGTCAGCATTTTACTTAGCACATCCACTTTTCAGAACTTGTGGCATCTTGCATCCCAATATGTTTCTAGCGATGCTTGTCCCCTGCTCATTCCAATGCACTTTATCCCACCTGTGTCCACTGCTGGGAAATATGTAGCCTATAAAAAATCTTTCTGTACTTTTGAAGTTTTCATAGCCAGTGGCTCTTTCTCAAGAGGAGGGCTTTGCAGTGCCTTGAGCATGATGCCTTCTGTCTTGTCAGTTAAATCATGACCATTAACTTAATCACCCTCCCATGAAGAGTAGTAGACTGTTGTCTTCACAGGCTCATCGTTGGTACCTAATACCTGGCATTCATGAGAGGACTCAGGAACCCTCATGCTCTTCATGTTCTTACAATCCCTTAACCATCCTGTCTCCACCTTTCAAAGTGCTCCCAGAGCCATCACTTACCCGCTGTTCTTCAATAGCCTCTTCAGTAGAACAGTGTCTGTGAGCTTTGTGCTCCGGGGAGTCAGAACAGAGCCAACAGAGTAGGCTCTCTTCCTCTCTACAGAAGATCATCTTTGTCTTTTTGTGGGTCCCACACATCTGTTCCTCAGAGTGCAAGAATTCCCTCAGATTGGCTTTCCTGGCAATGTACACTAGATTCTTAAGAACACTGTTGGTTTTGTACTCTCTCCGCTGGGATGGTTCACAGCAAACAAGACATTGGTAAGGGATTTCAGCCACCTCCCAGAAAAGGTAGAGACAGGATCTACAGAAGCTGTGCCCACAGCATATAGTCACTGGGTCTGTAAAGGTATTCAGGCAGACAGGGCAGATGAATTCTTTCTGGACGGGTTCTGGCAAGGCCAAGTCCAGGTTTCTGAGGGAAGAGAATTAGATGTGTTTATTCCACTGCCCTAGGGAAATACTGAGGCCTAAGCAAAACGTGATTCAGGCTGTGACTCCATAACACACTGGATCTTGAGCAGAATAGGCTTGATTTTGCAGAGGACACAAAATGGGAAGCCAAGCCACAAGAGATCTCTAAGATCTGCAGAAAATTTTCTTAGCTGCCCAGCCAACACCATTCACTTCCAGCTCCCCATCCTTTTCTCCTGCATTAAAAGGAAGAGAGTGCCCCAGTCTTGCTGAGGTCTCACTTTCCTCCAAAGAGCTTGGAGATAGAGGAATTTGACCAAATTTATACCTCCAGGTGGCAGGTACCAAATGCCCCCTCCACTTCCCAACCCCACAAAAATCAAATGGTAATGCTCACTGCCATCATTGATTTAGTGCAGACTATCTGACTAAGCCTGTGTTTCTATTACCTCAAGTAATTTCCAGGCATTTCTCCTGGCATGTCCTTTTTTATCTCAATCAGAATCCACACCCCAGAACTGTCTTTCCACAACAATTTCTGAATAGGTTAAGCTAATGAAGAGGAATGGAACATTGTTGAGAGGGGCGCAATCCTAAACAGAATCGACCTTCATCAGTAGACTCATGTTGTGGAACTTGTCCCACACCAATTTTTGTTATCTATACCACTCTAATGAAACAAATGGCAAATTAAACAATGCTTATCTCTTGCAGTCTTTAAAATTATTGCTAAGCACCCCTTCAATTTGTCATAAGTTGTAATGAGGTAAGAACTATTGCCTCTTGGGAATCCAGGCATGTACCACTCTTACAGAAGACCATCATATACACTCCAAGTCAAATCAAACACTCCTAAAACCATTTTTAGCATTCACCCAAGTACAAAACTACAAGATAGATACAGCTTGGCAACTATTTTCTGAGCCTTTCTAAGATGCAGGAAACACTAAGGGCTGCATAAAATAAGAGAACTAAAATTAACCTTCATATTAACTCCATATTAACACACATAATGAGACAGGCTAACAGAACAGGGATGGAATCACTTTGGCTCTAAGTAGGGAAATGACATCATTTCACAGATCCCACCTCAGTTTGCCCATCAGGTAAAACTCGGAAATCTGGATTGTTTTTCTTTAGGAAAGTCTCTTGAAACCCCCAACCCCCTACTGGTACCTTATATACTCACCTGGAGGCCATGTCTATGGTCTCACAGATGCTTGTGGTAGAAGTGATGGTAGGATGACAGCTAGATGATCAGGGCTTACAAGAGGTAGTTTTCAGAGGTCTCCACAGCCAGTTGAGTTCCAAACACACTCCCAGTTGTGGAGGAGACTGAGCCTGGCCCCTTGATCTCCTTATAGTGAATGTCCAAAGACCACACCCATTTCTTCCAAGTGGCAACATTTCAGAGGTCTTCAGAATGGGCGTTCCGATGCATGATGAGATTTCTTCAAACCAGAGGAAAGGATTCACTTAACATGCTGGCTCATCTCCATAAACGGATCTCCCTGTTGTGAAATCCGTGGCCCTTGTTGTGATGACATTTGTGGAGATTTGTTTGGATTATGGAGTCTGTTTTGACTGGAATTTTCCTTTTGACAGTCAATGTGACATTCAGCAGGGTAATAACCAATCACGATACGAGGCTATTTGAAGACGTGAGAAGTTTGAGGTATGACCGTGACCATTTGTATGCATCCTTGATTCCTGGAACATCTGACTACTTTGCATCATGGGGAGAACCCTGCTTTAGCAGCGGCAAACATTACTGGGAATTAGAGGTGAACGACTCTTGGGACTGGGTTGTGGGTGTCTGTGAGGGCTTCCGTGACAATTCCTGGATGAGGAACATTGGCCCACTGGAAGAACTGAGTGGCACATTCCTCCTGATGTGTGTAAAGGAGGATGACGGTTACAGGCTCTGGGCCACCTGCCCTCTGTCTCCTGTGTTCACAGAGAAACCTCAGGGCAAGGTTGGGGTGTTCCTTGATTTTGACACTGGAAGTTTGAGTTTTGTAGATGTGGCAAAGCATTGGGTTATTTGGAGGTACCATGATGGCTGCTTGAAATCTCCTGTCAGGCCTTTCATGTGCTCTGGCCACAGATGAGGGCTAAGTCAAGAGCCTGACCTGGGACACCCTGGAACCTCGTACCTGGGGGAGCGCCACTCCATTAAAGCCAATGAATGTTAGTTGATTGCCTTTTCTTTTTCTACTTGGATGTAACCTGCTGTTCAAATAAAGACGTCTTGATGCCCACAATTTTGTCACTTCAGTTCCATCTTCTTAGACATCAGAATCTCTTGTGCGCCTCTCATCTAGAATATGGGTGCCATCATTGGTCACCCATTTTGAGATTGCTGGAGGTGCCAAAACAGATGAGTGTGATTGGAACCCCATGATCCAAACACAGGAACAGGGGGTTTCCACATCAGGTGTGGGCCTGGTTATCTGGGATGCCCATGTGGTCTGCAACCCAGTTTCTTCTTCTTGATGTAGTGTATCCCACACATGGTTTGATTTGCCTCAGGGGCAAAAACCTAGTTTGACAGGAATCATCCTGACCCTTTGCATAAAGAAAGGCCCTTGCTTTAGTGAGCCCCGTGTAGGTAGGCCTTTCAGCTTTCCTGTGGTATAAATGACAAGGGATGGAGAAAGGAAGTGCCTCATATACTCACCGCTGTATTCTCAGAGGGCAACAGGTTGGCTGCTTATCAGGGGCAAGTTCACCAAATATGGGAATGAAGAAATCTAATGATCATGAGACCATGATCTTATCTGAAGGGAACTTTGTTAAAAAAGTCAGGGACAGGGAGGAAGTCCAAAGTTCACATTTCCAGGATTCGAAGGCTGGTGTCCAAAACAGATTATACAGGTTGAGTTGACACCATGGAGTTTTGTCTTCAGGAACGTGCATCTGGGTGGCGAGGCGGGAAATGAAGACACTGTTTGGCAAGGGACCTGTGTGTGTGTGGTTACACTCAGGGTGGTCATACACTTACTTGCATTGAGGATCATCACTTGGGCCTTGAAGGATGGGATGGGATGGGAGTGATATGGGGCTACCCAGCAAAGGGTCAGGAAAGAATTCTTAAGACCTTTTCGAGGCCAAAAGATGCTTTGTTTATACCTGGGGGACAGGACCTGCAGACAGAAGGAACTGCACTGTGATTGTGAGGAGTGACTGATTATATACTTTTTAGTTAGTGGAGGTTAGGGCTCAAGTAAGTTTCTAAGGCATATGTGCCTGTTAAAAGTTAAGGTCTCCAGGAATTGGAGGGCTGGCTATTAAGATATGGTTGCTTTTAGTCTCCAATAAAACATAAACATTAAGGCAGCCATGGAGCTCCTTGAAGAATGTCATGCTTGCATGGGTCAGGGATTTATCAGTAGGCTGCAAGTTGGAAGGAGACTTAAATAGGGCTACATTTCTCTTGCCTTTGTTCTCCTCGTCGGGAGGACAGAAGAGCAGTATGTGGACACATGCCCCTTACCATCTGTCCCCATTTCATCATCACACAAGATTGCATTGCTTTCTGTTTCAGCTGTTCTTGTTCCACGCTGGATTGCAGAGTCTCCATTGTCTTTCCACCACCAAATATACTTGCTGGATATATTGTGAGAAACCAACAAAGTAACCTTGTTGATTGAATCAAGTTTGTGTTCTGGACTAGAAAAGGAATAATGCTGGGGAGACATTATAGTTTACCATACTTGGGATCCAGTGTTACTGTGCGGCCTGGAACACGTCACCTAAATGTGACTTTGCCAGTCTTTCCTAGTCCTAAGAGTTTACAGTTACTGAGCACTTACTGCGTGGTTTCCATACAAACGGAGTTCTCTCTTCTTTACGTATAAAAACTTTAATAATCCAGTCTTTCCAATGAAAAAACTGAGCCATGAGATAGTTCAGTGACTTTTGAACAAAGGTGTCAATCTCCAATATCTGTGCTCTTAACTTTGCCATTGGTTGCTCTCGAAAATACAATTGTCTAGCTGGAGTTTAAATAGAAACTTAAAAAAAGAAAAGGGCCAAAAAAAAAAA